CAGAGGATGGAGGAGTGTGCAGACAGAGGATGGAGGAGTGTGCAGACAGGATGGAGGACAGAGGATGGAGGATAGAGGATGGAGGACAGAGGATGGAGGACAGAGGATGGAGGACAGAGGATGGAGGAATGTGCAGGAAATGTGTCTCGGGCATTTTGAGGGCTGTAATGTGGACAACAGGGATCTGGTGCTCTTTCAGAGCTGAATTCAAAGGCTATACTAGCTGTATATCCTTTATCCTGCTGTGAGCTGAGCTTCAGCCATCACATCTGTGAGCTGGGCCTTATTGGACTAAGGCTACCCTAAGTTGTTAGTGACCTAGCCATTCATCAGACTTGAGTTACTGAGAACCTCTTGTACATAAACACATTTTACAGGAGAAGAAGTGTAGGGAGAGCCTGTGATGTTTGGAAAAAGCCAGAGGCTGACTCATCCCTTCCCAGACTTAGCCTGGTTCTGTACTCACGCTGGTTTTGTTGTTTCTCCTGTTGCTTGATTTATTCTGTCGAGGTACAGGCAGTCACACCCAGCACCTCCAGCATGCTGGACTAGTCACCTCGAGTGGTGGCAGTCCCTGCTTGTGGGTACTGGTGCTCTGAGCCCCACCCCAGGATCCCGACTACAGCTTCCACCACAGCCTCATTCAGGGTTCAGTATTCTTTGGCTAAGTCTTCATGTGTCTGTCACTCTTGCCAGGGCTTTGGTTCAGGCCCTTACCTTTCATGTGGAATTGATCACCTTTTCAGCTCACATTTCTTTCATGGGGAATGCCTCACTACCATTGCTGAACCCGTGCCAGCTGCAGATGACTGCTGAACTCTGTGTTGCATCAAATTGCTGCAGTAAGGTTTGGGCTGCTGACAGGCCTGAGGCTGCAGGTTCACCCACCTCGTAGCTGGCTCCCAGCCGGCGTTAGCTGTGGCCTCTCCACACCTTCCCTCAACTGTTGCCTCAGCCCTGTTTTCCCTGTTCTCTTGCTGCCACTGTGTTCAGACAGGACCCGCACTGTTCTTATCTGCTGTGTGTTGGCTCAAAAATGTTCTGTCTGTGAGCAGTTATCCAGTTAGGCAGGCTGCACACAGCCTGGCAGCGTTTTCAGGATGTCTGAACAGTCTTTCTTTTCTGTTTTTATAAATGAGAATTTTTAATAGAAGTTTTTCTCTCGTTGTAAGCCTGCTGTTCAGGAGAGGAGAACCTATTCATTCATAGTCTTTAGCTTTTTTTTCACTTCTATCCTGTTAAGAGACTGCCTTCCCTTTGTTCCTCCCTCTCTTTCTCCCTCCCTTCCTCTCTTCCTCTCTCCCTCCTTTCCTCCCTCCCTCCCTCTCTTCCTCCCTCCCTCCTTCCCTTCTTCCTTCCCTCTCTTC